TAGCAGTAACCCAGATGACACCCCACCAGTAATGATAGAAGAAGTCAGAAACCCTTTGGAGAGCATGCAAAGAGGCAAAGCTGCTGGTGAGAATCAGGTTATATCAGATCTGCTAAAAGATAGAGGGCAAATTGTGTTAGAAAAACTAGCCATCCTGTGTACGAGGTGTCTCCTGATGGGAAGGGTTCCAGAGTCTTGGAAGAACGCTAACATCATCTTAATACATAAGAAAGGAGATGACAAGGACTTGAGAAATTACAGGCTGATTAATTTGCTCTCTGTAGTATACAAGCTATATACAAAGGTAATTCTAACCGAGTAAAGAAAACATTAGAATTCAATCAATCAAAGGATCAAGCAGGTTTTTGAACAGGCTACTCAACAATCGACCACATTCATACTATCATTCAGTTAATAGAGAAATGCTCAGAATATAACCAACCACTATACATAGCCTTCATAGATTACGAGAAGGCGTTTGATTCAGTAGAAATATCAGCCGTCATGCAGACACTGCGAAATCAGGGCGTCGGTGAAGTATATATAAACATCCTTGAAGAAATCTACAGGGGATCAACTGCTACCATAGTGCTTTATAAAGAAAGCAACAGAATACCGATCAAGAAGGGTGTGAGGCAGGGGGACACAATCTCCCCAATGCTATTTACCGCGTGCTTACAGGAGGTTTTCAGAAGCCTAGAATAGGAACAGTTAGGGATGAGAGTTAATGGAGAGTACCTTAGTAAGCTGCGCTTCGCCGAGGACATTGCATTGCTGAGTAACTCAGGGGACGAATTGCAACTCATGATTACGGAGTCAGACAAAGAGAAAAGAAAGGTGGGTCCTAAAATGAATCTGCGGAAAACGAAAGTAACGTACGACAACCTCGGAAAAGAGCAGCGCTTCGAGATAAGTAATAGTGCACTTCAAGTTGTAAAAGACTATGTCTACTTAGGGCAGATAATAGAGGTTTTTAGTTTGACCTTTTTACGCTCCGCTTAGCAGCTAAGTGGAGCGGGAACGCAAGTTCGCAAGTGCCCTCCGCTAAGGCCTTAAGCGGGTTACCGGAGCGGGGAATACGGTCCGCTTACGAGCAGCCTAAGCGGAGCGCGGTGCGTCGCTGCCGTTTTTGCAAGCGGAAGGGGGACAACGCGCACGCCCTCTCTCGTGCGTGCATTAACTTTGCTCATTTCAAGATGGCTGCCTCCGGAGATGGCACGTTTTCCGCTAGTGCTGCAGCTTGGCTGTCACCTGCCCAGCGCAAGCCGCGAAAACGCTTTCGAATCAATGAAGATTTGTGCCTCTTGAAAGAAGTGGTGTGTACTGATCCCTTCAGCAATCCCGCCGCGTGGGAGGACGTGCTTCGAAACGTCATGAGAGCGATAAATCGCGAGCTGACAATTCGCGGCATCAAAGAGCGAGTGGACCTCCTCATCGGATATTTTTGACAGCAGGACACAGTGAACCTGAGAAAGTGAGTGCTTCCTTACTTTATTAGTAAACGCTGTTCAAGTGCTGTAGAAAACAGTCGCATCGTAACGTGCTTGATTGCTCCGTAGGTCCGGCACCGAAGAACAATATGGAGAGCGGGAGCAGCTGCTTCAGGACGTATCGGACCTCATGAGGGAGGTCGATTATGCCCCGAGAACCGTGCCGCGGAAGGCAAACGGCATGGGGCTGTCGAAAAAAAACGGCGTGGGGCCACGACAGCCCACTCAACAAATTAGCATCGTTCAAGGCGCGCAGAGCCCAGGCTCTGCTAATTAGGGATGCTGCAATGGCATCTTTACCCGCTGTCCGGGCCTCAGACGACGGACAAAAAAATGGCAAGTAATCTGGAGTGGAGGGCAACAGCAACCCACCCCTAAACTTGTACTATGAAAACTGTGAAGTGTTCATCTTGACGATATCTGTATCGGGAGTGACGGCATGTATTTCAATGGCAGTGCTCACAGAATGAATTGTTGTGACACAGTAGTCAGACAGGTTACTTAGCTGGAAAGTTTTCACTATAAATATTACATTATTCAGTAATATGCTGGCCACTGTGCCTGTTCATTATATGGCATTGATCCTCAGGCAGTACATTCCCACGTTGTGGATGTGTGATGTACTTAATCGGCACTCTGTGAGAAATGACTGAATTTAAAAATAATCTAATGCTTTGTTTCAGCTTGCTGAATGTTTCTCATAACTTCAGTGAACATATTTGTCAATTAAGCTCATTAACTGAGAAAACAAATATCTATTTTGACAGATATAGGGAAGAAAGGTAGTTTTTATTCTGTGTGAATTATTTCTTCAGGGGTCCTATAGTATTACTAATGACATTCTCATTCATGTGCCTCGTTTTCTATGTGCAGATGAGGCAACAGCAACAAATATGCTGTTGGCAATCTATGAAGATGAGCTCAGTCAGCCACCACACAGAGATAGAGGTGACGGGACAGCAGGCAACAGAACCATAACCAGCCCAGCTGGAGAGGTGCCGGCTGCTGCACCAGGCGTGCCGGCTGCTGCACCAGGTATGTGCAAAGTACATTAGACGTAAAATATATCTTTATTTACTTAATCACAACTTGTACAACAAGGCACAATAAACAAATGTTCGTAGGCAAAAAACACATGAGAAGCATGTGCACCCTTACTACTATGCAAATGTATATTCTTTAATACTACTACTAGCAGAAATTCGCACATGAAAGTGTTTATGCACGATGCTGCAAGGCAAGTTGCACCGTGTAATAATTGTGCAAAATACTACAAAACATAAATTAAAAAGTGATATACACAATGCCTTAGCTAATATGCTCAGTGCCTAACTTCTGATGATCATTCATGCCCTTGTAGCACAGGATACCTTGGAAACAGATACAATAGAGGACAGCGACGCTGACCAGCACGCTCAAGGGGGCAACGCTGCCCATGATGCTCAAGGGCCCCTTCGTGCACCGGAACGGCGGCGTTACAGACAGTCTGCTGTTCCGACAGGTATTGCAAATCAAACTTGCATGATTTTTCAAGTTGCACCAGATGATGCATAGCTCTCATTGCATTGAAATAACATTCATGCGCTACATGTGATTCGTTTGCTTGTTTTTTCAATGCCAATTAAAGGCTTGGCATTCATCATACCCGAATGTGATAAGATGGCGCTGATCCCAGAGTAAATTAGTTATGAGCTGTAACACTTTAGAAGTACGTCATTTGTGTTGTACTTCATTTTATAGGAATCAGAGGCCTCCAGGCCCTTGGACTGCAGCTGCTTCTGAAAAGGGAAGAGAATGAGTTCCTTCTCCGGCAGAAGAAAATGGAACTAGAACACCGACGGCTGGACCTCGAGGAACGTCGTACGACAATAGCAGAAAGAAAACTATTATTCGAGGAAGAGCGCTTGAAAATGGAGGCTCAGCGCCAGAATTCTACTGAAATTCTCCAGGAAATAAGCAACAAGCTTGATCAATTAGAAAAAAAATTACTAGCCTACACAAATAAAAAAACTGTGTCGAAGGAATCCGCTCAGTTCTTTGGTCTCAAATACTCTTCCAGCTGAGGAGGTTCAACTTGAAAGTATTGAGATACCTGTGAGCTATACATACAAGTGTGGCAATTAGCAAGTATTGTGCCAACTTTGTACATGCGTGACACGTTCTGCCGTTTGAGTCTCTGATTTTTACGAAAATCCAGAAGAGCAAACAAGCCTGCAATCTTTCCGAAACCCCATTCGACTGCTTGTCTAACGGAAATCATTCTCTTGTTGAATGCCCGCTGCTGCACAGTCACGTTCCCGCCATAAGGTTTCAGCAGCAGAGGTCGCAGTGGATAGGCAGGGTCACCACACAAACAAAAGCTGTGGCCTTTGGCAAGCTTCTCTAGCTTGCGATAGGTGTTGCTCTTTCGAAGGATACCTGGAAATACAGGAGCACATGAAAACATATTGCCACATGATATGCGACACTGAATGCTTCATAAAATTCTTGCCACTTCCCCATAAATTTACACAAATGTTAAGTGGACTCTGTAGTGTGCACTTTTTAGATGCACTCTTTCCAAATAAAAAAAAGAAAAAGCTTTGATGCCTATCCAAGTAGGAAGGTTTCTTCACAGTGCTAGGCAGTAAAACACATTTATAATGCATTTATAAATTGAACCTGCATGGCATTACCTGTGACGAGTTATGACTGAAGACTTGTTGCAGAGTAACAAAGAAAACTTGGCCACAGCATTATAATGGTAACTGGGGCATGCATTTATCATTTTAGCTTGCACCTTATTCTCGAAATAAACAGTTCACAATTTTTTCAGGTTCTCTTTGCAACACCGTTAAATTTGAATAATATGCTGCTTTCTGCTGTAACCACAATTAGTTGTCCCAGACTGAGTGTACTTCACAACATTAGTACGAAGTGATAGCTTGTTTGCTGAAGTAGCACAGAGCACTCCCTCAGATAGGCGCGATGATGCTTTTTTTTTTTTGAAGTTGGACAAATAGGACGGGGCTCAGTATAACAAAAATAACTTGCCTGCGTCATGCCGGCTGCCGACGTACGGACCGTTCAGTTGGCAAATGATCCCATTAGGACACATAATGGACTGATATTTAAGGGCGTGAAAGCGCTTATGCCCTGAAAAGAACCGCTTCTGGTCCTTCGATGGACGGCAAATGGCTCGCGCTGTCCCGTCGATGAAGCCCCAACAGTTATGCAACGGCGCCCCTTTGGAATGCACAGCCTGCGATAAAATGTCATTTTAGATTAGAAGTAACAAAACAAATTAACAAACTTCATACCTCGGAAAAGAGTCGGAGTTTAGCGATGTCCAGCCAGGTGTGGTTATTCACATCGCGCAGCAGATGTCCAAACGTGCTGTCAATGTGCGCGAGTACTGCATTAGTGGCTGAAGAAATCACTGAATAATGCCGCCCGAACAGCGGCTCCAGTTCTTGCAGCCTATTGGGATAAGCCAAACGCCGTAGCGTAAGGCAGAGTGCCTCAACTCCGGAAACGAGCACGCCCTGCGGCGTTGTCACATTTTCAGGCACTTGTAGTGCACGGCACAGGCTTCGCACATCATCTGTTTCAAACCTAAAATACGTGCGAAATTGTCCTCTGTCCATGCTGTCGATGTTCAAGAGGCCATGTCGTGACAGCGGGTCTCGCCGAGTGTATTGGAAGACTTCAAGGCACAACAAGTCCTCTATTTCGGACCACTTTAAAAGACCCATCAAAAATGGGTCCTCTAGCACACTCCTGGGAGGCATCAATGGTTATGCAAACACAGTTTCAACGGTGAAAAATGAAAACGCCGCCACCACACACGCGTCAAAAGCGCAAACAACACACAGTGAATGCTTGCAATGGATCTGGAACGGAACCTTGTTGGCTTTTGAGTGGCTACTATCAAGTCAGAGCTTGCTTCTTTGTCAAAAAAAAATAGACGGTTAATACATTGAAAGTGGATTTTAAATACTTCATGAAAAGACGATTTATACGTTACTGTTTTGCTTTGTATACGTGAAAAAATGTTTTTTATTTTGTTTAGCGACGATGAAAACGACCAGAGGGCGCTGCAACTGCGAAAGGCACGCTTCGCTGCCGGCAACGAATAACTAAAAGAGAAAATTCAGCCGCCGCTCCACTGCGGCTTCGCGGGTGCTCCCGGAGCGGGGCGGACCACAAAAACGTCAAACTAAAAACCTCTAATAAACACGGAGCCGAACCACGAGATTAAAGTAACTAGAATAAGAATGGGGTGGAGAACATTTGGCAAGCACTCTCAAATTATTACAGGTAGATTGTCACTATCCCTCAAGAGGAAGGTATATAACAGCTTTATCTTGCCGGTAATTAGCTACGGAGCAGAAACTTGAAGACTTACAAAGAGGGTTCAGCTTAAGTTGAGGACGACGCATCGAGCAATGGAAAGCAAAATGGTAGGTCTATCTTTAAGAGACAAGAAGAGAGCAGAGTGAATCAGGGAACAAACGGGGGTTAAGGATATCATAGCTGAAATCTAGAAGAAGAAATGGACATGGGCCGGCATGTAGAGCGTAGAACGGATAACCGCTGGTCGTTAAGGGTAACTAACTGGATTCCAAGAGAAGGCAAGCGGGTTAGGGGGAGACAGAAGGTTAGGTGGGCACGTGAGATAAAGAAGTTTGCGGGTATAAGTTGGCAGCAGCAAGCACAGGACCGGGTTAACTGGCGGAACATGGGAGAGGCCTTTGTCCTGCAGTGGACGTAGTCAGGCTGATGATGACAGCCACTTGCGCCAGAAACGCGTTCTGCGTTTCCAGCTCTAATTGATAGCGTTCACGGTTAAAAAAATTGGCAGATCTAACGTGCAGTGGAAATCAATTATATGCGAAGCTCGAAAGAGGAATTAGGGACGAGGAAATTAGCACAACGTTGCGAGTAGGAGGTAAATGATGCCGTGCATGACTTCCATTTTCATGATCATTAGGTTTGAACGTGTCATTTACCTTCGTCGTCTATTCACGGGACTTGATACCAAATTTGGTATATGGAGACGTAGTGAAACGGCCGCGAGTATGCTATAAATGTAGCATGTAGTCAGGCTTTACGTGATAGGCATATCATATTATCATGATTGGAAGTATAATTTACTATTGTTGTCTCTTCACGTCATGCAATACCGATTTTGGTGTAAGCAGAGCTAGCGAAACCTCTGCGAGCGCATCACGAGCGTAGAATGTAGCCTTGTAGTTACATGAGACGCATGTCATGATTGTCAGTTCACACCAGTCACATTCCTTCGTTATTCATTGAGGTCCCGTTATTCCAAACTTGGTATATATGTATCTAGCGAAACAGCGGCGAGCGCATCATAAAGGACCCAATATATTTTGATGTAACGTTGACGCGGGTGCACGCTGTACTCAGCGACGCTATACGTTAGCAAAACGTCTGCACTCTATAGGAAGCAAAGCAACGCATGGTGGCGCTGTGACTCCGGACAGGCAGGGGCGAACTTTGGAAGGCAAGTAGAAATCGGGGATGTATTTGGCGCGTTTTCCGTTCTCTCCTATCAACACCACCTAGACTATCCACATGGCCCGTTCATACTCCTCTCTCCAGACGGCATACGTCACGCTAGTTGTCCGATGTTATGACCGGCACAGCAAGGAGGTGGCTTGCAAGGGACGCTCATCGGCGTAACGGTCAAACGCTGTCCGCGTTCTGCAGGAACGCGGGAGGCGTCTGTGTGCGCCGCAGTAAATGCACATCAGCGTCGCTGGGACACACAGTCGGCGTCTAGCGCGTGCACGGACGGCTCTGGACTTCGCTGGCCCGCTCGTCTCGAGTGCGCTCTGAGCCCTTGTGGTGAAAAGGCGCGTCTGTACGCTCTCGTTGCAGTGTACTTCTCTTGCAAATATGTACATTAAAGGCATCTTCTACTTGTTCGTGAGACGCGTCGCAAGAGTCGTCCTTCGCCGGATCCTGGGTGGCAGCCTCAACCCCTCCCCGGACATATCACCGACTGTCCAGTGGCCGAGGACGCGTCGCTCAGGTGGTGGTGTTTGTCACCCCACGCACTTTTTTACCCCGAACGGCGGACAAGCCACGACAGGTTTGCCTTTCATCGCTACCTGCTTCGCTGGTTAGACTGCGTTAGGCTTGGTGCTGCATCGCACTGCTCTGAGTCTTCGTCCGTTCCCACGTGTCCTATTTTATTGGTGTTGTATTTGTGAGTATGTGGTTACACATCGATCAGTGCGACATGGGACGTTGTTGTGTTCCCGGGTGCCGCGGCAATTATGACAGTGGTCCCAAAGTGCAGGTTTTCGCATTCCCCAAGGATGAAGCTCGGAAGAAGTCTTGGATAAAAGCCATTCCGCGAAAAGATTTCACACCAAGCATACACTCCAAGGTGAGAAACTGCTGAAGTTTGTTGTCTTACCGGTTCTATCGCATTACTGGCGTTCTGGCTCTGTTACTGTTAAACGGAGCGAGTATCGTGAGTGGTGATGGTAGTTTTGTCGCGCTTCAGGTAGGGCAGTGCGGTAAAATAGAACAGAAATACTCAGGCTCGATCGTGTCAAAGTTCCCATTAGCCCGTTTTGTATGAAAGTATTGAAGTCACTCTTATGCTTGGCGCAGGTCTGTGAACTCTACTTCCTCGAAGCTGACTTCATCACAAAGCTGTCACATTTCGGCGCAGCATCGGGACGGACATTGACAGTCGACAGCGAGAGGGTGCGCCTAGTGTCAGATGCTATACCATCGGTGTTTCCGAACTGTCCGTCTTACCTGAACACGAATCGCAATCGCCGAGAATCTCCTGTCTCAAAACGAGCTCGAATGAAAGATGAGGCCTTGAGCAAAGCGATTAAGGACTCTATATGCGCAAAAAAAGCGAAGAGAAGAGAAATGCTGTGTCCTCTTTTGAACACTTAAGAGGCAAGCTTTCTGCTGTTTGAAGTAACAATTTCTGGACCATCAAGGCCAACGATCGTTGTGCGATGTTTCTCCGCATCGAAGATAATCCTTCACCGCATGTGAGGTTTTCCGTCACTGTGCTTGCTGATCTCTCACTTGCAGTCTCAGCAGGTATGATCAAGCGGGTTTCATTACCTTGCGGAGGCGCAGTTCCAGACGCAGTGCGCGACATCCGGACGTTGTCCTCACTGCTCCACCAACTGGAAAACCACATGAATGAGACGCCTGAAGTTGCAAGTCCGTCGAAAACAGCGTCAGTGTTGCAGCATATCGGCTCCTCATTGAATGAACTGTCCCAAGACAGTGACACGACCGAAGAACACAGTGCTTTGTTTCGTTTGCTAAATGAGCAAATAGCTCTCGCACTCACTGCCCCATTCGTCGCTACAGTGCTGAAACAGTGTTTTCTAGCATCCTGCACTCTATATCTCTGCAGGCCTATAACTTTGCCAGATCTGCGTCGACGTTGACTTGACCCCATCCTTGAACCCCGCGCCGCGTTTGTTCCAAGTATGGAGGCGATCCACTGAAGGAGCAAAACGAAGCGAACTTCCTCTCCTACATTCGAGAAAGAGTGAAGTGCAAGCAGCAGCACGAAAAGACGGTGACGCTAATGGTTGATGAAATTTATATCAAGCCCTACTTCGATTATAAAGGGGGCAGCATAGTTGAATCTGCAGCCAATTCTCAAGAGGCAGCCACAACCGCTCATGTTTTCATGCTTCAGTCACTCTTGTCATCAAACAAAGATGTGCTTCACATTCTTCCTGTTGCTAAAATGACCGCCGAAATTCTACATGAGTTCTGCAAGAAAGTAATTTTAGAAGTGGATTCTATGGGCCTCAGGGTGATTGCTGTAATTACCGACAATTCCCTCAACCGGAAAATGATGTCGTTTTTCTCAGAGAAAGAGGAAGTAAGCATTGTATATCCTCATCCAGCCGACAACAATCGGCCTTTGTTTTATGTCGTAGACCCTGTGCACATACTGAAATGCATCAGGAACAACTGGATGAATAAAAAACGAAGGAATATGCTTTTACTTTCCTTAAGTGAGCCTGTCAGGAATATTGCCTGACGGGCCGCCCAGAATGAAAGCAGCATCATTTGAAGCCGTACAGCAGCTGTATGCACTAGAGCAGACATCGCTTCTCAAGCTTGGCTACAAGCTAAATTCCAAGGCAATCAATCCAATCCCTATGAAGAGACAAAATGTAAAGTTGGTGTTAAATGTCATTATTCCGTTTGTATCAAACGCACTTGAGACGCGTGGCGATGCCCTTGAAACCACATGTGCCATTTCAACACCTCTCTTCATAAACATCATATCGACGTGGTGGAAAATCGTCAACGTGAAGACCCCTTCGAAAGGTCGCCGACTGAACGACACCCTTCAAAATCCAGTAAATTCTACGGTGGATCAACAGCTGGTTTTCCTTAGTGGCATGGTAGACTGGCTGGATGCTTGGAGCAGCGTCAACATGAGCCGTGGCTCATGTTGACGCTGCTCCAAGCATCCAGCCAGCTACTTCCTACTGCTACTTCCTTGTTGCTACATCCAACTAGCTACTACTTCCCTGTGCTACATCCAACTAGCTACTTCCTTGTTGAGCTGTCGCGGTACTGTTTAGAAGACGTGAAGTTCAAGTATGTCTTGCTGGGAAAATTTCAAACTGACACTCTTGAAGATCACTTCGGTCGCTACCGTCAGCTTGCTGGTGCACAATACCAT